GAAGTTATTATGAAACATTGTTTAATTAAAGGCTTAAAAATGATTCTTAATGCTTAAGGGGCTAATGTGAGTGTTGTGTCGGCTGGCCTTGTCTTCACGAGAGGCGCCATCACGACCGGGCCGGTTGGGGTCATGACAAGATGCCAGGTTATGCGAAGATGATGAAGGACCTAATGTCACGGAAGTTTGATTTTCAGGACCTATCCACAGTGACTCTGACGCAGACCTGCAGCGCAGTGTGACAGACCGATGGCTCAAAAGATGTCTGATCCGAGGTAGCTTCGACTATTCCATGCAACGNNTTTGTTGTATTATATGCTAGCCTAGCTTTTGTAATGTTGCAGAATTTTGTGTAGTATTTTTTGTTAGTTTTTTCTTATTTTTCTATTTGAGATTTCGTTTTGAGAATGATTGGTCAAGGGGCTGTGTAATTCTTGTGGTGAAAAGGTGTTTGTTAGTGGGTGATTGAATGAAGTAAGAGTGGGGTGTGTTGGTGTAGTAGCATACTTGATTTGGGAGGAGTTTTGATATACCCATGAGGGCTATATGTGTTAGGATAGTGCCCTACCCACAAGGTGTTTGGGAAATTGCCCCAATGGAGTTATAAGGAGCTAATGTGACATGGTTGTGGTGAAGTCTGAGTAACCACCCATAGTCACACATTTCACGCCCTCACTAATAGGTGTTCCTCTGTTTGACAGGTACAATGAGTTCATCTCGTAAGAGACGCAACACCGGATCCTCCGCTAGTGGACCGGGAGGCTCCTCGAGAGCCAGGAGCCAAGCCAGTGCACCTCAGTTTGACAGCACTCGGTTCGTATCCAAATCAGCGGAGGATCGGTACAATCAGAAAGCATCTAAGAAGTTACTACATGAGGTACATATTGATCGGACAGCCTTAGAGAGGGAGTGCCCAAATATGTTTACTGAGTTGAGGAGTTTTATGCGAACTTGCCAGAACATGAGAATGGGGTTGTGACTGTGCGCAACACCCGGGTTAATGCATCTATAGAGGCCATCCGCCGGGTGTATCGCCTCCCAGCATTCACGGGTGAGATGGATCATTATATAGCTTATCACCGCCCGAGGACTGAGTGGGCACCAATTCTTGATGTAATCTGTATCCCTGGCAAGTCGTTTAAATGGATAACGAAGATGAAAACTCTGCACTCACAGTCCCTTAATTGGGAGGCAAAGTGCTGGCTCACTGTCATCAACACCCGCCTGCTACCCTCCAGCAATACCACTGATGTGAATGGGCCACGGGCAGCGACTATCTACTGCTTTATGACACATCAAGATTTTGATGTCGCCCAAGTCCTCCATGATGAAATGTTCATTAGATCGCCTGAGCTAATCAAGGGCCACTACTTCCCTTCGCTAATCACCCGACTGTGCCGTCTTGCTAAAGTCCCTGAAAACCTTCGAGTTGATGGGAAATTTCCTCTGAAAGCCCCATTCCGGGCAAGAAAAATTGGACTCGAGGGAAGAGAGCCGGTGGCGGAAAGAGATGACTCTGCTGATGAGTCTGATGATGATGCTGAGGCTGCTGAGGTCACCGCACCTCCGAGAGTGGAAGAGGCAGGCCCATCACAGCCACGTCGGAGCACCCGCATGGCAGCTTTGGAGCAGGAGATGGCTGGGTTGCATACCTCAGTCACTGATTTGAGTGCCCGTGTTGATGAGGTGGCTGACCGGCAGGTGAAGTCAGAAAAGAAATTCTTGGACCAGTTGAGAGCTCTGGGACGTGCGTGCAGCGTGAACCCAGACACCGTCTCCGATCAGGAGTGAGCCTTCAGGGAAGTTCCTGAACCTCACTGTTCTTAAATTTTTAAGCCATGGGGACATGTCTTCATTTTAAGTGTGGGGTGGGGGATACTTCATTGTATGTTTGTAATTGTAACAATTGACTGTTTGATTTTGTTCGTTTTGTCTTGCTTTGATTGTTTTGATGTTAGAGTAATAGTTCATTAGGAAAGTTAAAATAGTAAATGACTTGTCTCGACGACGGATCTCTTGCGGCGGGGTTCTTGAGGTACTAAGTCGGAAAAAAAAAATGAAATATGGAGACTCTTCCTGATGACGGATCTTTTAGACAATTTTCTTGAGGGAAGTTAGTCTAGAGAAAAGACCAAAAAGATTTTTTTATTTTTATTTTTAGGTAGTGTAGTAACTCCCCCTTGGTTTTTCTTTGGGCCACGGTTCTTTTCCAAGGGTTTAGCTTGAACCGGGTATAGGTAGTTTTTGTTTATTTTTATTCTTTTTAGTTTGTAGATTAGGACTAATGTGCTACGAGCTAAATTCGAAGGAAAAACCCTTAGCGTTGATACACTTGAACACAATAGACACTAGAGTGTAACGCTTAGCTTCATTGGTTGAATCCTGTTAAAGTGCCTTAAAATTGTATGTTTGCATCTAACTTGAACACTCAAAAGAGAATGTCTTGATAAACCAATCCGGAGTGAGTCATGTGCCATGTGTGTGTGAGTTTTACTGTATTCCATGATTCACATTTGATGCCTAGAACTTGCCATGTGTGTTTGCAAAGCGAAGTTGTAGTTTCATTCAGTTGTAGAAGTGATATAGGCATTTCTTTGTTGAGCCGGACATATAAAGTAAACCCACCTGAATGCAATACATCTTAGTTAACCCCGTTGAGCCTATAAGCCTATTTCTTTGGCAACCACATTGCGAGCCTTACCCAATTGTTTGAATAGCCTGCTGTTTGAACCCTTTTACCTCCCAATAAGTACTTGAATGGTATTGAAAATATGCAAAAGCAAAAGTTTGGGGTGGTGGTTTGGTTTTTGAGTGGAACCATTGAGATAGAGAAAAGGTGCTGAATTTTGAAGCATAAAAGAAGAAGCACCACGAAAATAAAAAAATTATAAATAATTATAGTGGTTGATAAGTGGTAGCTTGTACAAATTGCACCTAATGGATGGGGATGTTTTAAATAAATGTGGTGGAGTGTTTGGTTGGCACAACTATGATCTTTAAGTTTAATGTAATTGTATTAAAAGTGCTTAGGGAGGTTAGTCACTATATCTAAAAATATCCTACCCGTCTCTTAGCCTACATTACAACCAAGTAAGTCCTATTGATCTTAGATTGAGTGGGCTCAATTAGTAGAGTATTATACTATGGGCAAGCCTATGGTGCATCTTTGTGGCATGTGAATGTTCTTTTTTGGAGTGAACGAATTTTGTCTATCTTAGTTCCTAATTGTTCTAATTATCATTATATATGGAACTACTCTCTTGTGTGATGTGAGGGCATGTGATTCACAAAGGAAAGGTAAGTCTTGACTCTTGTATAGAGTGGTTTGAGTAAGTGCGAAAGTTGCATGGTACGAAAGGTTTGACTCTTGAGGTAAAGGTTGTTCACTACTAGGTGCATCTTTTGTAAAATGTTCATGGTGTGAGTCGTTAAGGGAAAAGTTTAGGGAAGGAATTTTGATGGAGTGTGGTGGATTGCTCGAGGACCCGCACTGATTTAAGTGTGGGGTGTTGATAGTAGGCTATATAGTTAATATTTACACCTTAATATGACCATGCTTTGTTGTTGTTTTATAGGTAAATTGCCAACAAAATGCTCTAAATAGTGTTCTTTTGTTTCGCAGGGAATATTATATGTGAGGAAATAACATGGAGTGTTTTGGAGGCGATAATGTGAAGAAAACGCCCACTCGAGAAGTACCCGAGCACGAAGAAGCAGAAAATGGCTTGGGCAAGAAGTCCACCGCGACCGCGGTGAACCGCGGCAGATTAAAAAAGTGAGGCAGAAAGGTCAGCTCTCACCGCGGTCGACCGCGGTGCACTATTCACGCTGCTGGAAGTTTGGGGACCAAAGTGTAATTTAGGGAAAACTTTTGTAAAACCTTTATAAGCTTTAGAAACTCGCCCAAGATTGTTTTAAGCTTGTTTTTAGAATACTTTGGAGGCAAGAACAAGTGTGAGAAGATCACCCAAACATTAGAGTTTTTCTATCTCCTTATTTCTTGCAATTTTACATTATGAACAATTTAGTAGTTTTCTCTTATTTTGTTATGAGTAGCTAAACAATTATCTAGGGTTGATGGAACCAATTGTTGGTTGAAGTTTTGACTCAACTTGTTATAATCGAGCCGGATTTATTATATGATTGTTCAACTATATTTTGTATGGAGATTAGTTGAATGTGCCCTTGATTAACCGTGTCTAATTACCTCATATTGCTTGAGAAAGAATATTAGGTTAGAAAGCTGTTGAACAACACCACTTTTGAGTAATTGAAGAGATTCATTACTTGAACTTAAAAGTGGGTTTAGAGATAACGAAACTTTGGTGGGATAATTTAGAGTTGCACATATTGTCAGCTAGAGTAGTTCGAGAGAATGCTCTAGTAAATTATTGTAGTTGATCGAGAAATAATTACGATAACCCATAGCTCTTAATCCTCATAGGGTATTACAGCGAGATTATAGCGAAAGAGTCGAGACCTAAACTAGCAATCGGGGAAATCACTGCCCTAGACCTTTTTACCATTGAATTATCTTTGTTTTAGCTTATTGTTGTGTTTAATATTATTTGAAGTAGTTAAACAAAAACCCAATCTTTATTGATCAAAAATCTTGCATCTAGAAATTGGTTGAGTTGATAATAACATTGCCAAGAGTTGTAATAAATAGGTTAGTTCCCTGAGGATTCGACTCCGGACTTAAAACTGGATTATATTTGCAACGACCGCTTGTTTTTTAGAAGGCATAGTTGGGCGTGATCAACTACACAAGTGACAAAGAGGGAAAATTGTAAAACATGATGTCAGAGACTACACAAGGGAGAGATTAATATTGTAATAAAACAAAATTCAGTGTGATCACCAATATTAAAGCCAGACAGTTCTGATTGTACACTGTTTCCAATTTTGGAGAAGTGGCTTCAGATAAATTCTCAATAATATCAACATGATGTCAACCAACCCTACCCCACCCCACCCCACCCCCCACCCCCAAAAAAAAAAGAAATCAAAATCTACAGAAGTACTAGTAATTGCTATAGCTACAGCCCAGCAGGCAGCTTCTGCTTGAGGATTCCCACCACACTAAAGCATCTTTCTTTAAGTTCCTTTCAGCAATCCTTTTTCATTGAACAAAAATCAGCTACTTTTACACTTTAACAAAAATATTCAGAAGATAGATTTGGTTCTTAACAAGTCACATAAATACAGCTTGAAAAAAAAAAGGTTCAGCTTCTTCTGCATTGATCTTTTACACTAATGTTGCCATGTTGGTACTGCACTGGAAACGACAAAACTAGTTACAGAGTTAACCTTAAATACCTTGGTTCCAAAATTCACTCAGTCACAGGTCTGTCCTGGAAGAGGAAGTAGAGGTATATTTCGAAGAAATATCCTTGAAAACCATGATGAGGCCCTTCAAATCATTAGCGCCCAATTCAAGGCAGTCCTTAAGCAAATCACCATCTACTACTTCCTTCTGAAGTGTCTCCATGACTTCCTGCAATGGACCCTGCTTCAAAATAGAAAGAGACCACGTTAGACCAAATACAATGGACCATCACTTCATTTTTAGTTTAATCAATAGCATTGGCAATTCAATATCTAGTACACTCTCAATCCCAATTTATGTGGTGTTCTCTCCTTCTTACTCATCCCAGAAAATGATAAAAAAGGACAGCCCGGTGCAGTAAGCTCCCGTTATACACAGGGTCCGGGTCCGGGGAAGGTCCGGACCGTAAGGGTCTATTGTACGTAATTTTACCGTGCATTTTTGCAAGAGGCTAAGGATACATTTCTATATTTATAAATAATATGATTTAAAATCACACAAATATTTATGACTCGATTTAAACCCTAATACAAAAGTCTTTCTCTTTGTTATAAACTTCGTGCCCAATCAAACAGATAACATGTATCTGGGATGGGGGAGCAATACACTACTAAACTGAAGTTATAGCATACGCATCAAATTTGCCCTAAATATTAAAATAAAACTTACGGATTGTCGAAACATCTTCCGAAATCTACCAAAAAGAGATTTGGAAACTCTAAAAAGATTCTCATAATTCCGATTCATCCATTTAACCCTTTCCCTATCTGAACTGACACTTGAAAAGTCAGTAAGACCACGCAGAATTTCATTCAACTCCGACAAAACACCGAACATATCAAACGACGTCGTATCTCTCCAAGCATAATTTCTCGCATAGTCCCAACCCACGTTCCACATGACTTTCCAGAATCCAATACCCAAACCATTCTCCAGTTTTATGGCAATGGATCGAGCTCGGGCAGCGCCAGCGGAGTCTCCGCGTGATTCCCGGAGGTTGGCGACGCGGGAGAAAAGGGAATGAGAAACAGAGAAGAGGGTGCGGTAGTTAGAAAAGGGGAAAGAAAAGGAGGAACTAGGTAGTGGGTTAGAGAGAATGAGGAAGAAGAGTAAGAAGAGAGAGATTGGGGGAGTTACGCCGGTTCTACGCATTGGAACCACCGGGAAGGGCGGTGGCTGACTTGCCGGACAGCGAAGAAAACGGTTGAGGTTTTAGGAGGGTTTCAAAAGCAGTACATTAACATTTTTTTATATAACGTGAAGATTATAATATAAAAATTAAATAATCATCAAAATTATTTTTCAATATTCAAAAAGATTTATGTTAAACATAGTTTTAATTTATTGACGAATTAGTATTAGTACCCGTGCGGATGTGCGGACACGAATCATGTCAAATATTTAAGTTATTTGAATTGTATGTATATAATCTTAAAATTTACACTTTCTCGGTAAATATAGATAGTCATTGGATATCAACTACATGAAAAAAATTAACCATTTCTTCTATTTTTCTTTTTCGATACCATTCTTGCCGGTGTCATTGGATCCTAAAAATAGTCAGGAAGTAAAATAATAACTCATATTTATGGCAAAACAATCAAATGTTGAGACAATGAATGACTCTTTTGATAAGACTTAACGCTTTTACTACTACTTGAACTCTTATTTGATGTGTTGATATCTCTTAAAAATATTTCTTTCTTAAAATTTTAGTTTCTAAAACATTATTTTTCAATAATAATTTTTTTTATAATAATGTAATTGAAAATATTATTCTTAATTCAAAACTCATTTTAGTTGGCTATCTAAAAATATAAAAAATTCTTTAGCTAGTGAATTTTTTTTACTCCATTTTGATATTTGACATTAACCATGTTAAATATCTGAGTTATTTGAATTATATATAAATAACCTTAACATTTAAACCTTCTAAATAATTATAGATAATCGTCAGATATTAACTAAGAAACACTATGAAAAAAGACTAACATTTTCTCAATTCTCGTAGTGATGATTTTATTTTTGCATTATTCTCATAGGTGTCATTGAAACCTAAAAATAGCCACAAAGTGAAATAATAACTCATATTTATGGCAAAGCACAAAAATTGACACGATATAAACGATTCTTTGATGACGACGTGACTTTTATGCTACGACTTGAACTCTTATTTGGTATGATTTATCTTTCAAAAAATATTTCTATTTTAAAATTTGAATTTCTAAAACTTTTTTATATTATAATAATGATTATCTTTATAATGATGTAAGTGAAGATATTATCCTTAATTTAAAATTCACTTTAATCGGCTATCTAAAAATTTAAATGATTCTTTGGCCGGATTTATTTCAGTATGACTCCACTTAAGTTTATCGATATCTCTAGCCCCAGCATTTGAATTTTTAATACCCTATATATACAAAAAAAAATTGTTCTTGAATCATTAAATGTTAAATTAGTTGATTATTATTATAAAATAGTGCATATATTGTCTTAAAATCGTCAAGTAGTTTATTTTTCGATACCATACTTGGCTTAACCTCAATGCAAAATACTCGAATTGCATTCCAATTCAAATTCGAATATCATATCAGTTTGTTAGTAATAGTGGTTTTTTAAAAACGACACATAAAGTAAATTAAAAAAGAAATATTCTAAGATATCCTTATCTTATAATCTATGTATTTGAGCAGGAAAAAAAAATTTGAAATTGATGAGATTAACTTTCAAATTTTTTATACTCAACAAAGATGAAACATAAGAAGAAATTTGTTGTCTTTTATTTCTCGTTTTTAGATCTTTCTAACATTCTTTTTCAATATTTATTTTATTTTATCTTTTTTTTTGGTCTCATTATTTCTTTTGCTTCAAAAAATTAATTTATTTCACTATAAAAGGATGAGTTTTAATAAAAATTGTCTACATATGAACTTTAATTATATTTTTAGTCTTTGGTTGAAATTATTTTATATTTTTCTTTTGGCTTTATCTAATCAGCCTAAATAGGTGCTTACTCCACCACTTAAATTAAAAAATTGAATGATATGTAATTTATATATAATTCATATATAACATGTCTATAATCGTGTGTTGTCGGTATATCATCTATTTATATTATCTATAAAAAGTAAACAATAAATATGGTCGGATATTATGTAAATATTCCATAAGATTTCGGTTTTTTGAGTTTATCCATGATATAACTTCTATTATAATAATTTTAAAACTCTCTACTAATGTTCAAAAATATCTTATCTTTTTATTATCTTTGAATCAAAAAAAGTAAAGAGTTTTTTCGAAATTTGTTTACATTTTTAAAAAAGAATATTTCACGTCATACCAATTTTTTCTTTATAAATACTCTTTGTTACACTTAAAAGTCGCTATAGAAACTATTAATTAGAAACCAATTTCTCTATTGTTGAGTTTGAAAAAAAACCTTTCACATAATCTAATGATTCAAAACTAATATTCTTCAACAAAAAAAAATATTACACCCTTGCAATATTGGTTTGACTACAGCTAAATGAAGGGGTTTCAGCTTATACCATTCAATTCCTGAATGTGCTAAGCTGAAAACGATGATAGCAATTGTATACCCAAAGTTTTGTTATTTGTTTGATGTCCATTTATGCAAATTGACTCTTCAAACAAATATTATTCGAGAAGAAAAAAGAAACAACTTTTTTTTAATATTGCCTAATTTTGTGATGTTTCTTTCTCCAGCATGTATGTTTATTTTATTATATATGTAAATAAACTTTAATTTGGTTTTGTAAACTCTTTTTGTTATTTAGATAAACATAGACATGTACCCTATATATTACATTTATTTTAAAATAATTTCGTTTTATTCAAATCTAGCTACAGTGTTTCAAAGAACTATACTTATAGGATCCTAAATGTGAAAGAGTTTTATAGTTATATGGAGTAGTTTTTTTTTTTTTTTTTTTTGCTAGAGGCGAAGTAGTATTTAAATAATTAGAAAAAATAACAAAAGTTCCTAACATGATTGCATATGATCATTAACCGAATGATAACATGATAAAAAAGATAAATTTTATTTTTAATTTAAATTCAAAATTATCTTTTAATTCAACTTTCGTATACATATACATACATATATATTATATTATTTGTATTTAACTAAAATAGTGAAATATAGAATAAAGTTACCTTATACTATTGACATTTATTAGCTTGCTACTTGGCTTAACCATAATGTCAATTATATATGGTAACTTTCTTGCTTTAATATATATATAGATGCTTGACTTATTACATTCGAAATGACACATACTAAGGGTGTGTTTGGTATAACGGAAAATGTTTTCCGTGGAAAATATTTTCCAAGAAAATGTTTTCTTGGAAAACAAGTAGTAATCTTATTCATTTTTCGGTGTTTGGTACGCAAATTAAGGAAAATGACTCAAGAGTATTCATAAATAATTTAGATATAATAAACATGAAGCCATAAACTTTCAAACCAACAGCCTTCCGAATCCACAAATTTCATAAACTTTCGAAACCGCGGAATTCCGAACCCGTAAACTTTATAATTTTTAAACCCGCAAACTTCCAAACACATAAACTTCTGAACTCATAACTTTGGTACTTGTAAAATTTTGAACCTTTAAACCGATAAAAAAAACTAAAACTGAAAAATATATTTAAAAAATATTTTTTTACGGAGGGGAGGGGGGGGGGGTAGGGGGGGGCTGGGGAGTAGGGGGGTAGGGGGAGAGAGGGGGTGGGTGGTGCAGAAAACGAAAAACGAAAATTTGAAATTGCAAAAAAAAAAAACTATAGGTGAATTTTTTTTTTAGCGGGTAGGGTAGGGGTTGGGGGTGGGTGGGGTGAGGTAGAGGTGTAGTAGGGTGGGTGGTAACAGGAAAAACTGAAATTTAAAAAAAAAAACCTTTTTTGGAAGGGGTAGGGTTGGT